TCCTTCTCTGAATTTTGCAGTGCAGTTCTCTGACCGCATAGTGCAGCGGTAGGCAACCTAAGGCCCGGGGGCCGGATGCGACCCAATCACCTTCTCAATCCGGCCTGCGGATGGTCTGGGAATCAGCGTATTTTTACATGAGTGGAATGTGTCCTTTTATTTAAAATGCATCTCTGGGTTATTTGTGGGGCCTGCCTGGTCTTTTTACATGAGTAGAATGTGTGCTTTTATTTAAAATGCATCTCTGGGTTATTTGTGGGGCCTGCCTGGTCTTTTTACATGAGTAGAATGTGTGCTTTTATTTAAAATGCATCTCTGGGTTATTTGTGGGGCATAGGAATTCGTTCTTTTCCCCCCTTCAAAATATAGTTCAGCCCACCACATGGTCTGAGGGATGGTGGACTGGTCCACGGCTGAAAAAGGTTTTTGACCACTGGCATAGTGTGTAGCAAAAAAGGAAAAAACTAGGATAAGGTGTGCATAAAAACGCATATATTAGTGAAAATTGTTTGCTAAAATGTGAAGAAATTGGCACTAAAATGCTGGTGAGTTTTCACAAGGGCTTAAAGGAAGTCGGCAAACTGAGCTGGCAATGTGGAGAACTTCATAAGATTGGAAAGATTAGAAACTGAGGGGAAAAAAAAATGACGGAATCATCCATTCCTGTAAGTAAATAACTCACTCTGGCTGGTTACTGAAACCTCATAATTTTTGGAATACATAACATAATCAAATTCGCAAAAAGGAGACCTCCACACTATCCTTTAATTTCTTTTTTAAAATATGCTTTAGAGTTCTAGACTGATAGACAGATGTACAAAAATGTTCAAAATATGGCCTAGACATGGACAATATTTTTAAATGGCTATTTCTCAGCCATTCTTCATGAGAATGTTCTGACACTTAACAAGATCATATACCTTACCAGGTAGATCACATTTCCATATTGAATGTGAACTTCTACCTCAAATTTCAAAATCTGACTGCTTCAGACTTCATGGCTGGGTTTTTTGGTTGTTGCTGCCAGTCTTCAAAATATGAACTATAAACTGGCAGCTGTAAATGTTGTCTGAATCTAAACACAGCATAGTGTTTGAATCACATGTCAACGATCAAATAGTGTCTAACACCAGACACCATTGAAATTCAACTTATCAAATACAGTGAAACACTTGATACAGCTGCAAATACTGTGTGTCAGATGCTAGACATACTGTTCTGTGTGCTATGATCCCAGATGGACAAATAAATGTTATGAGTTTGTGAGTGTCTGGCACCTTTAATTCTTGGACTCAGCATGTGTTAGAATTAATTTAAGGCTTGGAGTATGTGCTGGACACTTTTAATTTCTGAACTCAGCAAGTATTAAAAGCTAATTAAGCCAGGCTAGTTCCCGTGAGGTGATAGCTTGAGTGATGGGCCATTAAGAGAACAAAAGATCAAAAGGAACCTGGGCTGGATCTACATTGATCTGTTAAACGTGTTGTTGTTTTTTTTAAAAAAAGTTTTATAAAGTTTCATAGGAGTTTCCCATTGTCGGTGGCTTCTCTGATGTCACATTTTAAGAACACATTGATATCGTTTTAAATGACAAGTGTAGATTAGTCCTTGGTGTGAGATGGCAAATGAATGGCAGAGCTTAGGTGAGGGATGTTAGAGTTAGGAGTTATGCAAAGTAGCAGGCAGATCATGATGTTTGATATCTGTTTGACTCCAAGGCTGTGGCTATGGGAGAAACAGGACCTTTTCGGCGTGTTAATGCTGTGGACCCCTCCATCAAAAGCTCAGGTTCTATATGTGTGTAAATGAACCATATATCTTAAAGACACCACAGTTTCTGCTGTGCCTTATTCCCAACCAGAAACATGGGCTCTGACTGGGTGCCTGGAACCTCTGGAATCTCGGAGATCAGGGTGGCGTGCAATACAAGAGAATTCTGTCAAAATATTGGTGGTTTGTGGATGGCCTTTTTTTGGGGGGGGGGGTGATTTTGGCATAAAGGCAAGTCAGAACTGGGGGACCACAATGCAGATCCTAGAAAGCATTGAATAGAAGCTTAAGTTAGACTGTCTCATTCAAAACACAAGCTAAGCTATCGCCTAAGAAGGTTGTTGACATTGAGAATAGCACTTTCCTGAGCTTTGAAGCGGTATGTGGTGCTGCTTCCTGACCCTGCTACATGCAGAACTCATATATTTAGACAAATTGGAGGCATAATTACAGGAAACAAGCCCCAAAGGATATCGACTTCCTTCTATGAGAAAGCTTTAAGGCATTCTATAGGACTGTTCCCTGCCCTCTAAGAGCTCCTATGTTTACTTGCATTCTAGGCCTCAACTTAATTTTCCCATCTGTTGCGGTGCCCTGCTGCTTCAATTTGTTATGGCGACATTTTTGTCAAGACTGCACAAACAGCAGGTTATAGGGGAGTGGTAAGCAATGTGGTGAGCTTCGAATGTTGTTGGACTACAACCCCCATCTTCTCTGACTGTTGCCCATTCTGAATGGGACAGATGGAACAACTTCCTTGTTGTTGTTTAGTCGTTTAGTCGTGTCCGATTCTTCATGACCCCATGGACCAGAGCACGCCAGGCACTCCTGTCTTCCACTGCCTCCTGCAGTTTGGTCAAACTCATGCTGGTAGCTTCGAGAACACTATCCAACCATCTCGTCCTCTGTCATCCCCTTCTCCTTGTGCCCTCCATCTTTCCCAACATCAGGGTCTTTTCCAGGGAGTCTTCTCTTCTCATGAGGTGGCCAAAGTATTGGAGCCTCAGCTTCACGATCTTTCCTTCCAGTGAGCACTCAGGGCTGATTTCCTTAAGAATGGATAGGTTTGTTCTTCTTGCAGTCCATGGGACTCTCAAGAGTCTCCTCCAGCACCATAATTCAAAAGCATCAATTCTTCGGCGATCAGCCTTCTTTATGGTCTAGCTCTCACTTCCATACATCACTACTGGGAAAACAACTTCCAGGCGGCACCATTTTGGAACATAGGAAGCTATCTTAATAGCATCAGATCATTGGTCTATCCAGCTCACATTGACTGGCAGTTGTTCTCCAGAATGTCAGAGAGTGAAATTCTGAGGTTTTGGACTACAACTCCCATCAACCCTGGCCTATCAGACACTGCCAGGGGCTGAAGAAGTTTGTGGAAGGTTGGTCTGGAGATACCATGCAGGGCCACAAAGATCTACTTCCCTTCGCAAGCAGATTTGCCGGGTAACCAATCGAACGGCAATTGCTTCTGCACTTTTCTGACTTTTAAAACCATCGGCATAAAGGAAAAACCGAGGATGTCATGATGACCCACCAATGGAGCAATCAATGTTTTCTCACGGCTGTTAAGAGTAATTAATGCCCATCCCAAGCAAAGTGCGTTTTTCGTCGATTAAAGCTATTCACCGGGGAAAGTTGGGAGATTATAAAGTAAAATGACCACAATGGGAAAAGAAATGTCTGGGTCACCGTGTCTGCAGGCGGCTGATTCTATATATTTAAGAGAGGCTATACTGGCTTGATGTGAACTTTTTAATTAAGTGGAGGAAAAGCAGTCTAGTCACACTGGAACCAAGTTGATTTTCGGGCCCCTGAAAGCCTATCCTGTTAAGGAAACGTGGGTGGTTAATATGTACTTCACCACCAAAGTTCCATCTTGCAGCGCCCCGAGAGCAATGATTGGTTAGTATCCTCCCCAATCGGAGTTTAAATTTCAGGCAGGTTCAAAGGTGAGGGGCAAAGCTTCGTCCAGAGTCGGTGAGGTGGATTCGAGGTCTAGAAGATAGTGTCTGTCTTGGAGGTCAAGGTAAGAACTCACTGTGTCAGCTGGTTAGTTTTGCTATTTAAAAATGTCTTGAGGTGCATTCGGGCTTAACAGATTCATTGTAGTAGCATAAGGCTTTGTAGACTACTGCCTAATCTGAATCAAACTATAAGATGAAACATCGCTTGGAATCACCCAGATGGGTGAAAGTGTGAGATGACTTAGGAGGAAGCAGGAATCATTTTCTTATTCAGCTGGTCTACTCAGTGTTATCTTTCTAGGAAAAGATAACTCACCATGAATGCCTCACTTGTTCTCTTAGAATGCCGATGGTGCCCACCTGAGATGTGTTGGAACTGAGTTCTGGCAAGTTCTGGCTGGGAAAAACAGCCCTGGGTTTCCAAAGGGGTTGCAAGAAATAGATTGCAGTTTGAATGTAGAATTCCTAATATATATTAATATTCTCCCCCCCCCCCCATACACATATCTTAGGGAAATATTCCAGATCTTTCATCTTCTCCAGTCCACGTGCATGTTAAAAGGAAAAGTAGAAAACACTGTTTGCATTGATGTTTTCTTACGTATGAGAGTCTTCAATTACAACAGAGGAAGTTTCTCGAATTATAATTGCTTAGAAAAGGCTAGCCTGTGCCACAAAGCTTTGTAAGTGCAATGCAGGAAATAATTCTAGTCTTGTTTGGGGCAGCGGTGGAGCTAATAGACCAACAATGCAAGCAGGAGAGTTTATTCTCCTCCTCCTCCTCCTCACTGGTTGCATACAGACCTTACATTCGAAGCACTTGCGAAGCACATTAAAGCACATTACTTCACCCAAAGAATCCAGGGAACTGTCGTTTGTTAAGGGTGCTGGGAATTATAGCTCTATGAGAGGCAAACGACAGTTACCAGGATTCTTTGGAGGAAGCAATGTATAAGCTCCAAATCTATATTAAATGGCAATGTGGGCAACTCCCCAGTGAGTTTCTTGGCTAAATGAGGATTTGAGCTTTGGGCTCCAGTTCCTCATCTGACATTGAAACTACTACAAGAAAGAAAGAAAGAAAGAAAGAAAGAAAGAAAGGGAAAATTGAAGATAATTAAATTACACCTGAACAATACACTAAACAGTGCGTACACCATGGTACATGTAGCAATGTGTGCTTGGATTTATAATTCACTGAATGATCTGTTTATTTGCAGCCCCATTTGTAAGGTCAGGCTGTGCCTGCCTATGAAGATGAAGAGAACAATTGTGTTTCTTTGCATTGTTGCCGTAGCCTGGGCAGCCCCAGTAAGTTCTTCTTAATGGCTTGCGTATATGTCAGACATGTCCACGGGCACGAATTAGCCGTCAAATGGGCGCATGCAGAGATGGAAAGGAATATATTCTTACGTGAAAGCAACGGTTGTTGGGCAGAAGAACTCACAGGGCACATTGTACTTAAAGACAGGTGAACAGTGCATGGAATTGCTTGAGAAACATGCGTGGAAGATTCCAGCATGGGGTCTGAGCAGCGGCATCATTAACGCGGCAACAGGCCAGAACTCTGCACGTGCAACTCTGCACACGCAAGGCACGCTGTGGCCTAGAAACTTTCTCACGCTGCAGTAGGGCTCACAAAGCATGTGCAAAAAGCCACCAGCCTGGCATTCAACAGCAGCAGTCGCAGACTTGAGGGCTTGCTGATATGACAACCCTAATTCCCTAGGAGGGAGGAGAGGCTGGCACCCAGCACAGTCACTAACTGCCCCTCCTCCCAAGCCATACCTCCCCCTACCCAGAACCGCTGTAATTGGGCCTCCCTTGCTCTCCCCCACGGCTCTCCTCCTAGGCACATCCCACCAAGTGCCCTTACAGCCAGTGAAAAACCGTTGAAACACTAAAAAAAGAATTTCAAAGGCTATTAAATTTAAAAACAAGTTAAAAGAGGAAGCCCTCTCCGCTGAGCAACAGCAGCAGTTCTTATGAAGCACGTGTTAAGGAGAGGTAGGTAGCTGTGTTGGTCTGATGCAGTCAAAATAAAAACATTAAAAAATAGTCCAGTAGCACCTTAGAGACCAACTAAGTTTGTACTGGGCAGGGTGATACCTCTGGTTACGAACTTAATTTGTTCCAGAGGTCCGTTCTTAAGCTGAAACCGTTCTTATCCTGAGGCGTGCTTTCGATAATGGGGTCTCCCGCTGCATGCATGCCTCCGGCGCACAATTTCCGTTAGCATCCTGGGGCGAAGTTTGCAACCAGGAGCAGCTATTTCTGGGTTAGCGGAGTTCGTAACCTGAAGCACTCGCAACCAGAGGTACCACTGTATAAGCTTTCGTGTATCTGAAGAAGAGTGCCTGCACACGAAAGCTTATACCCAGTACAACCTTAGTTGGTCTCTAAGGTGCTACTGGACTATTTTTTTAAATTTATTAAGGAGAGAATTGACTCAAATTACAAATGCAAATTATTTTTGGTGGGACATTCTCAAATTAAATTGGTCCTTTTTCCATAGCCTCTTTAGTTTAAATCTTTCCCTGCTCCCGTTTTGCAGAATTTTCTGTGTCGTTACATAAATTCCCACTACACATCAGACCAAAAAAACCCACCAATCTTGATATTCTCTGTTGGTTAATTTTTAAAAGTGAGCTTCGATTGCCTTTTCAACTTTGTTTTCTGATTTAAAAGCTCTCGCAGAGTGAGCCAAGGGACAACAACAGTAGCATCGGGAGAAATCAGGTGAGTTCACCTTTGCGAAATTTCTTGGCTATGTGATTTGATTCTGCAAAGTTGAATCAGATTTCAGATTTCCTTTGACATGTATTCAAGATCCACTGCTCCTAGTAAGGGCTTAAACATATTGGCCCCTACTATGAGCAAATGGGGAGCCCAACTCTCTCATTCCAAATGCAACACAGCACATAAGGTATAGCCTGGGCAGAGAGTTACTCCAGGGCTGACCCACCCATGAGGCAAGGCGAGGCAACCGCCTCTGGCGGCAGAATCCACAGGAACAGCTGATCCTGATGTAGCTCTTTATTCCTCCCTTGTTCCTGATGTAGATCTTCACTCATGCACTGGAGGTGGGGAGGGGGGATTAAGGCACCATTTTGTGATTTGCCTCAGGTGCCAAAATGTATTGGGCTGGTCCTGGGTTACTCTGAACATTGTAGCTCTGTGAAGGGAACAGATATCCTCTAACAACTTGTAGCACCCTTAACAAACTGCATCTCCCAGAATTCCTTGGGGTGAAGCCATGACTGTTCAAGCAATATAACAGTGCTTTAAATGCATGGTGAGGATGCGACCCTACTGTGCTCCCACAATACTCTGGCTGGTTTGTTGCAGATTAAGATGGAGTGGTGAACATTTGGATTATTCTAAGTCTGAGGACCACAATTCCTTCTTACATACCAGTGTTGGGCAGTGCCAGAGGCAAAACGGGGAAGGTTTCCCTAGAAAGAGGGAAACCATGATTGTCCAAGCGTTATAACAGTGCTTTAAATGTTATACTGTGTATGCAGCCTAATAATGGCAGCTATTCCTCAGTGAAATAAACAAGACGATCAGGTGATGCTATCTTTACACCCAACCGTGTCGTTTTGATCCTGCACTCCTTTGAAATCTGACATTCCGCCCAGGCCTAACTTGGCACTTCCTGAAAAACTAATATTTAAAGAACAGCGGTTTTCCTGTCTGTGCCAAATTAAGCTCCCATTTTAGCTCTTGTCACAGGTGCCAGCATGTGGCCTGAAGCCTTGAAAACAGCCCACCCACCCGCCATTGTCGCCGTCAATTAAGGCTAAGCAAGATCAACAGCAGTCAAGCAAAACGTGTCAACTCCTTTTATTTCTGGTCACCGGGGAGTGACCTCTAGCAGAATATTAAAAAAAAAATGTGTTAGAAAAGGGTTTTTTTGAAAATGCATTGACAAATATGTTGCTTGAAAAGTTATAGGAATGGGTAATAGAATGTGACAGATAGACAGGTTTTGGTGTTTTCTTAAAAAAGGAATTGAAAGAGCAATTGGATTATGGACAGAAGACCACAAACCCATCTTCCCCAAATTTAGGCAACCAATTCTTCCTCTGTAGCTTTCTGAAAATGATAGCTAAGAGGGTTAGATCACCTCTGGCCATCCTGCAATTTGAAAACTGGTTGGCACCCTGCTCTGAAAAGCATTTAAAGACATGCTAGCCCAGGGGGTCAGCAAACTTTTTCAGCAGGGGGCCGGTCCACTGTCCCTCAGACCTTGTGGGGGGTCGGACTATATTTTGAGGGGGAAAAATGAATGAATTCCTATGCCCCACAAATAACCCAGAGATGCATTTTAAATAAAAGCACACATTCTATTCATGTAAAAACACGCTGATTCCCGGACCATCCGCGGGCCCGATTTAGAAGGTGATTGGGCTGGATCTGGCCCCCGGGCCTTAGCTTGCCTACCCATGTGCTAGGCTTATTCCAAGAAGAAGGGGAGGGCCCTCCCTAGCCACCCCCCCTCAGAGCATCACTGTTGACAGTGGGGAGGATTCCCTGCTTGTGGCAGATCCCCACAATTTAGAACCCTGGAAGGTCAGGATTCTAAACCACACGAGGGACCTACACAGGTAGAGAAGGCTCCCTGAAGTGGCATGTAGAGGAAATACTCCCAAAGAGACCTATTTATTTATTTGCATTGATTTAAGATCACCGTCTCAGGTTCCAGTCTCCTTTTGCATCAGATTCGTTTGTGAGACCCTTTCCACCGTGGCACCTTCAATATGGAATTTTCTCCCTGGGCAACTCCAACAAGCCCTCTCTCATTGGAAGCGATTTTATTCAGGAAAGCCTTTTAGGATACATTTCCCTTCCCCCTCACTCCCATTGCCTCCAGGAATTGTTTGACATCTCTCTGGGCCCTCTGCGGGCTCAAGACCTCCTGTCACATGACTGCCACGGACCACATTATGACTGCCACCGCATGGTGCAATGTCAATTCTTTCCCACATAGTCTCAGTAACACAAAGCCAGCCTTCAACTGAGTATTGCATGGTTCTTGCTTGGAGTCTTCCCACTTTTCTTTGAGCAAGGGTTGCCGCTCTGTGGTAGGACAGCTGCTTTGTAAGCAGAAGGTCTCTGGTTCAACCCTGGCATCTTGTGCTGGTCCCGGGGAGGGGGGGGTGTTACCGTGCGGCATGGTCTGAGTCCGGTTCTAGGTCGAGGGTATGGAGGCTGTCCATCAAGGGCGAAGCGGAGCCGGGCATGGTCAGGAACTCTGGAGGAGCAGGACAGGGTGCTGGCAGGAACAGGTTACCAACAATGTTGCTCCCGCAACCTGGGACTGGGCTGACTGGCCTTTATTTCCTCTGAGGCCAGGGGCGGTCCCAGCCCACAGGTGACTCGCCTCTCCTGGCCTTAAGGCGAGCACTCCTTCTGTGAGAACTTAGTTCCCTCCTCCTCTCTGCCCTGAGCCTCTGCAGCTCCGGAGAGGCTGGATGGTTACTGGACCCAGAGGCAACCTCACCTTCCCCTGACAGGGCTGGGAGAGGAGCACCTGCAGGCAATGGGTCCTTGATCACCTCGGGAGCCAGAGCGGATTCAGCTGGTGTCTGCTCCTGAGGATCCAGCACAGGTGAGGGCCCTTCAGGTTCAAGCCCCTGCCCCAGCTCAGCCGGCCCTGGAGGCAGGGACTCCTGTGTAGGCTGGGACTCCTCAGGTTCAGCTTCTGAATCAGATTCCCAGGCCATCACAGCGATGTTATTCAGGAAAGCCTTTTAGGATACGTTTCCCTTCCCCCTCAACCCCATTGCCTCCAGGAACTGTTTGACATCTTTCTGGGCCCTCTGTGGGCTCAAGCCCTCCTGTCACATGACTGCCACGGACCACATCTCCAAGTAGGACTAGCAATGTCCAGTGAAACTCTGGAGGGCCACTGCCAGTCACGGTTTGAAACTCCTATTGTGCCGGAATCTCCACTCGGCCAAGCTGATAAAGCTCACCTTCCGGCCGAGTCCTTCGGAATTGCCCTCCGACGAATAATTAATGACCTGAGCCTCTGATAAGGCTCCAAGGCACGTTCCCCCATTCAGCAGAGTTTCAAAGCAGCAGAAGTGATGAGATTTATGGCTACATCGCAATGCTTTATTTCTTACTACGCAGACATCTTCTCTCTGTGAGAGCAGAGAGCAACTGAAACAAAGGAGCAAAGGAACAGAGAAACCAGTACGTCACATCCGCCTCCCTTCTCCCGTGAGACTTCCTATAGCTTGGACTGTCTCTGGAATATAAACAGAGCCTTGTGACTCTAAGCAGCTGCTCAGTGGCAAACAGAAACTAACATATTGTTCTAGGCGCGTTTTGTGACAGGGAATTTCATAAACACGAGCAGTTTCTGAGATTTGGGTGCAGTACTGCGCCTAAGATTTCACATTAAAACTGCCACTGCTGGTACTGAGAGTGTGGGAGGAGAAATTCCTTCCCGCTAGACTTCCAGTAGATCTAGGGGCCATCTTATACACAGAAAAATACAGTAAGGTTTGTGAACTGGACACTCAAGGTGGGTGTCTCTGCCCTAAATAGGCCCTAAATATGTGTTGATTCTGGTGCCAGAAAGATATATTTATATGAAGGAAAGGGGGCGTAAGAAGAATCCAGGGCTTGTCTGCAGAGTGGAAGGAAAGGAGGACCTTTTTCTGCCTCCCCACTTCCAGCCGCTCTCTGAAGACTGGAGAAGAGACCCTCTTAAGAATATTAGGGAGGCGGGCAAGGGAAGCATGGCTTTGTGTTTTGCAGTCTTCTGGTGAGGACTAGATCATGTGAAAAATGAACATAAGATTTTAGCTGCAGTTCATTCACTTTCAGCTTTGTATTCTTGTTATAAAACAGTGTGCCTAGACATTTTGCTGTTGTGCCCATAACCTGGGTTTAAGGTGCACTTTAGCTCCTAGCTTTCAAATCTCTGTTTCTAACATTTCTGCTAGTGGAGACAACATTGAGCTAGGAGGACCTATGACTTGACTCAGTGTACGACAGGTTCCTATGTTCCCTTTTCATTTCTGTTCAGTTCCTGCTTCCTGATTATGTGTTTCTCTCCATAGGATGAATCAAACGTGGGCCATACCAGCAAACACGATGGTGCAGAGAATGACGAGGGATTTTATGAAAGTGGAAACAGTGGAAATACCAGTGGAAATACCACTGGCTGCATCAACAGAGGAGATGTTGGCCATGAAGAATGTGAAAGAATCGAATCTGCCACACAAAGAGATATAATCAATGGAGCTGATGATTTAGTGAATGCTCTTGGAAATGTTGGCAGAAGACCTGAGAGCATCCCTAGTCATGCCACAACAAATGGAAGTAGAGAAAGGGATGTTACTGGAGAGGGAATCCTTAGGGGTAACTTGGAAGGTGGAAACTCAAGTGATGCCAGTCGCGGGAGTGGAGATGGGAGTGTTGATTATACCATCCGAACAGACCTTTCGACAGTCACTCAAAATGACGATGGAAAGGAAAGCCACATTGGTAACATGGTTGCAGAAGGATATGGTGGCACCCCAGGAAACCAGAGTAACAACATCCAAGGCCTAAATGGTGCAGGTGGAAGTGAATATGCAAATGCTGCACCTGAAGGAACTATAACAAGGGCATCTATGATAAATATGGTCCATGGAGAAAGCATTCACTGGGCTGATGTTAATGAAGCTGGCAGTGGTAATGGCGGAGATCCAAGTGAAGAAGGTTCTAGCGATGGCTGGGGGGATGGACGTGACGAAGACACGACAGCTCTGGGGGGAAATGAGAGAGGGAAGCATAGCAATCAGACTTGCGACAATGACAGAGATGTTGGTGGAGATGCTGCAACCAACGGAACTGTGGAGCTGTGCCTCAAAAAGAAACAGAATAACACTCTAGATTCAGAGGGTGTTGCTACGGTGAGTTGGGACCCATGATGGGGCAATGTCAAGTAGAGAAGGAGCAGGTGGGAGGAGGCCGCTGAACTATTCTGCCAAGCCCTGCCTTTGCCCCTGCCACCCCTCTCATTTCTGCACTCTGAGACTAGAAATAAGTAGAGCAGTAGAGCAGCTTGAGGGAGGGGTTGCAGGAACCAAAAGTTGGAGCCGGGGGAAGAGTTTAGCACTGCCTCCCAGCTGCTGCTTCTCTGCTTGGAATTGCCACTTTATACCATTTTAGCACAACCCTCTTCTCAGATGCCATTCTCCTAGTGGACAATTGTTCACTACAAAACAAAAACAAAACAAAAAATGAAGGCACGTCTTCCTTCCCATCTGGAAGGGTTGATGTGGGGCTTTAAGCCCCTTTGCCTTCGGTTGTGGGTCCTGATCCAGATCACGCTACCTGCACTGCAGCAAAAGCTCCCATTTGCAGTGGTACCTCGGGTTAAGTACTTAATTCGTTCCAGAGGTCCTTTCTTAACCTGAAACTGTTCTTAACCTGAAGCACCACTTTAGCTAATGGGGCCTCCTGCTGCTGCCAGAGCCTGAATTCTGTTCTTATCCTGAAGCAAAGTTCTTAACCCGAGGTACTATTTCTGGGTTAGCGGAGTCTGTAACCTGAAGCGTATGTAACCTGAAGGGTATGTAACCCGAGGTACCACTGTACTCTAATGAGAGCTTCCCTCCCTCAATTGCAAACAGCAAGTGCATGGGCCCAGTCTGGAGTTGGTGTCCAGTGGGGGGCAAAGGGTTCAAGCCCCTTCAATCTACACCAGGGCCCCCCATCTGCCTGCAGTTTAAAATCCATTCATGGAATTGCTAACTGAATGATTTCATTTGGGATTTGCTTGCATTCTCCTTTCCTTTTGGTCTCCAGGGCGCTGGCGGTAGCAGTAACGGATCAGTTGTGAACCACGCAGATGGCAGCAATGTGAATGATACTGGCAGGGATGGGACCCCTGACAACAGAGAGGCCATGGATGGGCTTCCCAATGCAAGCAGCTCTCAGGACGCCAGTGAAGGTCGCCTAGAGGATGCCAGTGACCACGAGGACACCAGCGAAGCCGAGAGCAATAGCGTTTATAGTTTGAGTTCTGAACTCATGCAAGGGGACGAGCCCGACAAAAGCCCAGAGTCTGAAGGCAGCCAGCAAGAAGCGTCAAGTGAGGCAAGCGATGGGGAAGACTCAGAAGACGAGTCTCAGGGAGAAGAGGAAGAAAGTGCCAGTGAGAACGAGAGCAGTGAGCAGGCCGAGAGCAACAGCGAAGACAGTCAGCCGGAGAGCAGCGAGGGTGACGATCAGTCAGACAGCGGCGACAGTGACAGCCATCCAGACAGCAGCCAAGGTCAATCTGATAGCAGCAGTGGGAGCGAGTCGGAAAGCAATGGAGAAAGTGAGTCTGAGAGCAGCAGCGAGAGTGGGCCTGACAGTAGCAGTGAAAGCGATGGCAAGGCTGACGAAAGCAGCAGTGAGAGTGAGTCGGATAGCAGCAATGGGGGCGACAGCAGCAGTGGGAGTAGCAGTGAGAGTGAGAAATCCAGCAGCGAGAGTGAGAGTAGCAGTGAGAGTGAGAGTGAGAAGTCCAGCAGTGAGAGTAGCAGTGAGAGTGAGAAATCCAGCAGTGAGAGTAGCAGTGAGAGTGAGAGTAGCAGTGAGAAATCCAGCAGTGAGAGTGAGAAGTCCAGCAGTGAGAGTAGCAGTGAAAGTGAGAAATCCAGCAGTGAGAGTAGCAGTGAGAGTGAGAAGTCCAGCAGTGAGAGTAGCAGTGAGAGTGAGAAGTCCAGCAGCAGCAGTGAGAGCAGCAGCAGTGAAAGCGAATCTGATAGCAGCAGTGAGAGTGAAAGCAGCAGTGAGAGTAGCAGTGAGAGTGAGAAGTCCAGCAGCAGCAGCAGTAGCAGCAGTGAGAGCAGTGAGAGCAGTAGCAGTGAAAGCGAATCTGATAGCAGCAGTGAGAGCAGTAGCAGTGAAAGTGAATCTGATAGCAGCAGTGAGAGTGAAAGCAGCAGTGAGGACGACAGCGAATCTGATAGCAGCAGTGAGAGTGACGCCACATCCGAGAGCAGTAGCGAGAGTGACAGCAGTGGTCCATCGGACACCAGCGAAAGTAGCAGTCAAGCGGGGAGCAGTGAAAATGGCAGCCAGTCAGACACTGATAGCGAGGACGGTGGTGAGTTAACGGGCAGTGAAAGTGAGAGCGATTCGGCAAACCAACCTGACGGCGATAGTGAGAGTGCACCTCTGAGTGCGGAAAATGGTGCTGCCAGCGACGGTGCTTCAGATACAGCGGAAATGGCAAGTGACGATGAATCTGTAGCAAGCGAGGAGAGTGACAGTGATGCTCAGTCAGAAGGTGGAGACACTGAGAGTGAATCCATAAGTGAAGGCAGTCAGAGCAACGACCTAACCAGTGATTATTAACGCAAGGTTGAGGAAGGATCAAATTACGGCAATGGGAGCGCTCATGATGGCGGAGGAAGACTGGACAACGACACAGAAGCCAAGCCAACAGGCCGAAACATATTTGTCAGGAAGTTACCACCACAAGATCTCTGTATAAGTGTGATTAGGATCAGGGTCAAGGTTGAATTGGGGACACATTAGCAGGAAAGCTGCCCCAGTCCTTATAGTCGCAGGGGATCAAAAATGCTGTGTTTATACATTTTTGAGTGCTGCGGTTTTGGTTGCAATAAATTATATGCCTTTGCACAATGGGTATTCAATTGTTGGTAAACAGATACAAAAGCCCAGGTTCTGATACACATGTTCATTCATCCAAGACCTCCAGGGTTGGTTCTTATAAGTGTTATTCATTACTTGGCTGCAGCATCCTGACTTGCATGTGTGAATGAAACATTGCAAATAGAATTCCTGGTAAACACCACCTGGCCCGTTTTTCTTGGTTTACTTGTTCAATATCATGGTTCTTAGAAGATTATAAATGTGCCCTGTGTGTAAACTGTAAAATAAATTATTATTTTTCATGTTGTTTCATGTATTTTTCTTGGGAATGGCCCACCCAGCTTTTACTCTCTGTTTCAAAAGGAAATCAGAGAAAGGGATGCTATTGAGCCACATCAATTTAAGACTGTGCAGGAGGCAATCGTGTTTTGCCTTGAATCCAGTGGTTGAGTTCCTTTTTACAATTGTACATGAGTAAATATACTACTTGATATAAACATCATTTGGTCGCAGGAAATGTATTTTCAATTTGCAGCCTTGTACAGCCACATTTCAGTGAGCGCCACAACTGAACAAGAACAACAAGAGTTCTTGTTATTTAACTTATAGGCCACTTACATGCCCAACTGGCTTTTAACGTGTTCACAAACAGGAAATCAATCCAATAACATTAATATACATTTAAAAATCAGTTAAAACAATAAAATCATAAGTTCAACTCAAGGGAATGCTTCCTAAAGAGCCGGTGGAATGCCAATGTTGATAGGACCTCTAATATTTCAGCAGAGAAGGCATTCCACAACACAGGCACCACCAGTGAAAAAGCCTGCTTCCATGCTACCACAGGCCAATAATCATCAGGCAATGGCAAAATTAAACAGGTTTCATATGCTGACTGTAGGAAGATTCACCCCGCCCCCCAGGTAAGCTGGTTCAGAGTTATTTAGGGGTTTGTATGTAAGTAGCTGAACCTACCACTACTGGTGTGTTGGTGGCTAGGGGAATTTTTTACATTTCCTGAACTTTCCAAAGTATGTCAAAAATATATTGTTTCACGTTCCTCTTTTCCTGAGCCCTGGTCAGGAGGGATAGCTCTGCTTCCCTTTGAAAGATAGAGTAGATTTACAGAGGTACCTCAGGTTACATATGCTTCAAGTTACATACACTTCAGGTTACAGACTCCGCTAACCCAGAAATAGTACCTCGGGTTAAGAACTTTGCTTCAGGATGAGAACAGAAATCGTGCTCCAGCGGCGCGGCAGCAGCAGAAGGTCCCATTAGCTAAAGGGGTGCTTCAGGTTAAGAACAGACCTCCGGAACGAATTAAGTACTTAACCCGAGGTACCACTGTATATACAAATGGACAGGTTGAGCAGGTATTGCGGACCTGCAGAATCAAGCACACCAGCAGTGCTTTCCAAAGAAACCCCCCTTCATTCCTCAGTTCAAAACAGCTCTGTGTATTACAAAATCCAAAATGGGATCTTGGGTAGTCAACCCCCAGGCTACTTGTCCACTTAGCGCCAGTACTGTCTGCTCTGATTGGCATTGGCTCTCCAAGGTGTCTGGTTGATGCCATTCATGCGGTTGTGGCTCATGTGGTCAGGTGGGTCTGTTGTCCAGGATGGGGATGGGGCAGGGCACCTGCAAGGTTTGGGATGTGGGGATGCACCAATTTTCTTCCAAGTTTTGCAATGCAGTTTTCATTGACAAGTAACATGGGTAAAAATGCATGTATCGGGGCAAAACGTGCATATAATGAGTGAGAATGACATGCAAAATATTTTATACTCAGGGAAATTGCTTTGCAAAATGCATATAGTAGGCAACATTGCATACAAACCTGTGTAAGGGGGAAATTTGCACCTGGATCCTGAAGGATTTTTACGAGGGCTTTCAAAGTGGTGTGGAATTGTGGAGGTCTACATTTAAGTCTGGAACAATAAAAATGGATGGATTTGGCCACTCCCAGAGCCTCAGGTGGAAGTCCCACTTGGAAGCAATGCATATGCTCCCTTTATGCCAGAGACAAGTTTGTGAAGTTTTTGTTTTCTTAAGCACTTCTTCTTAGCAATTTATATAAAGCTTGGTTTCTCAAGCAAGCTTGGAGAAGCCCTTCCTGGCAGCTATTCCTAACATTCCTTGTGGGTGTCACGAGGAAATGGCTGAGCTGAGTGTGAGGAAGTGGGGAAGCTGTAGTTGCTGTCATGGATTTTCTTCTGCTTGGGTAAGCTTTCTCTGCCTCCAGTCCCTCATGTCTCACTAACAGGATGTGGCAAGGTTTTATTTAGGTCCGAGCTGGGCGCAGTCATTGGTGTATGTTTCCCCAGCACCTCTTCATAGGGATAGACAGTATTATTTCTGGTCTGTGTTGCTTTCACATGATTTCATGTCCAAGTCCGTTCCGGCCCATTTCCATGTTAATCTGTGATCCGGTGGAAACTTACACTCGGATCAGCCCATTAATTTGGGAGGATCAATTCACAGCAGAACACGCAAAGAAAACTACCTCTATATAATGCCACTATACACATCTATGGTGTGACCGAATAATAATAATAATAATAATAATAATAATAATAATAATAATGTAATATTAATAATTTGTAACTTTTACCTTGCCCATCGGGTTGCCCCAGCCACTCTGGGCAGCTACCAACAGAATATAATCATTGGAGAATAAAAATATAAAGGTAAAGGACCCTTGGATGGTTAGGTCCAGTCAAAGGCGACTATGGGGTTGCGGCGCTCATCTCGCTTTCAGGCCAAGGCAGCCAGCGTTTGTCCACATTCAGCTTTCTGGGTCATGTGGCCAGCATGACTAAACCGCTTCTGGTGCAACTGGACAGCATGACAGAAACCAGAGAGCATGGAAACGCCGTTTACCTTCCCACCACAGGTACCTATTTATCTACTGGCACTGGTGTGCTTTCAAACTGCTAGGTTGGCAGAAGCTGGGACAGAGCAACGGGAGCTCACTCTGTCGTGGGGATTCAAACTGCCGACCTGGAGGATACAGCCCTTGGAATACTGTGTACAGTTCTGGTTGCTTCACCTCTAAAAGGATACAGTAGACTTGGGAAAGCTTGAGAAAAGGGCAAGCAAAATGATCAGGCATATAGTAACATAGCCTAAATATTAAGAAAAGGACTAAAGAAAGACTATAATAGCTACCTATTCTGGTAGGGGGCCCGTGACAACGCATCAAAATAATATTGATTTGATCTTGAAAGAAAATTGCAATCAAGCTTTCTTAGTTCAGTGTTATCCCACTAGAGTGCATGAACCAGAAACCTCCAAGTACGAAGCTTTCTGTCAGTTAGCATGTCACAAGTTTCTGCCGACTCCGGATCCTAGTAGAATATTCGCAAGTAGCCGAGGGACGCGGGTGGCGCTGTGGGTAAAACCTCAGTGCCTAGGACTTGCTGATTGTATGGTCGGCGGTTCGAATCCCCACGGCGGGGTGAGCTCCCGTCGTTCGGTCCCAGCTCCTGCCCACCTAGCAGTTCGAAAGCACCCCTAAGTGCAAGTAGATAAATAGGTACCGCTTACTAGCGGGAAGGTAAACGGCGTTTCCGTGTGCTGCGCTGGTGCTGGCTCGCCAGAGCAGCTTCTTCACGCTGGCCACGTGACCCGGAAGTGTCTCTGGACAGCGCTGGTCCCCGGCCTCTAGAGTGAGATGGGCGCACAACCCTAGAGTCGGACATGACTGGCCCGTACGGGCAGGGGTACCTTTACCTTTACCTTTAGCCGAGTAGAAGCATAAATATTGCTTGTTGTCGCTCTTGTGAGGCCTCACCCCACCCCAATTTTGACTGCCTAGGGGCCTCCACAGGGTTTAATCCAGCACGGTGTCTACCGCACACTGAAGAGACAACCTACTTTTCAGTTTGAAATTTTAAGCTGAGTCTGAAAAACGGCTTGCCTCTTCCACTGCCTAAGCTGTCACAGCAGACATGCTACAGAAACTCCTAGCTGGGTGCAAACTTCTTTCCCTTGGCATCTATAACATGCCAATTGGTTGTATCACAGCTGCAAAGGGCAAATTCAGCAGTTTCATTTCAGTGTTGCAGCTGTTCTAAGCATCCTCCCACATGGTGGCTGTAAGGCGAGAAGATATGGTAGCCCACAGATCTTTTTATGCTAAAGACGGTTCTCGGAAGCACTTCGGTACAAACTGTCTACTGGTATAATACATATATTAGCAGGAAGCGAGTCCGACTGGGGATGACAGCACTCTGGGTATAAATGTGGGTGACACTGGAATTGTTTACACTCATAAACCTGCAGGCATGAGAAGTGGCATAAATTTAGAAATCCAAATGAACCCTTAGCAAGATCCCTCATTAAATGCAAACTGGTCTAGTCATTTTGAGAACCACAGCTTATTTTTAGGGAAAACGTCCATTTGGAGGCAGAAGGGAAGCGGGGGCGGTCTGGATGCCTGATGACACCTTATGACATCACTCTCTTCCTCAAGGCTGCTGATTGGTCCTTTTGTAGCTGAAGCAGAGTTTAAATTCGTGCACCGTCATAGAAGATGTCAAAAACTGGTGTTCAAGAAGTGGATCTTAAACTGATGTGCTTTGGGGAGCAATTTTGAAAAAGGAAACCCTGGAGCAACCTCATTGAGACAGACACAAAGGTAAAATCTTAAATTATTTTCCTTTTTCCAATGTTGTTAAGAGTTAAAGCCAGCACAGGGGACACCTGCTAGAACTGTATTAATGAGAAGTCTTAAAGATGTGGGAGATTAATGAAGAAGCATTAATGAATGAGGAAAAAGGAGAATGCTAAGTCCCTGTTCTCATTATCTGATGTTTATGAGATTTATGCAAAAAGGGGTCTTTAAATCATTTTGATACTCATTGAACAATGGATATGAGTGTTTTATAAAAATGCAAATTTGGATGAATGTGGAGACAAAACAATAAATTGGGAGCTCTTGCCTACAAACTTTGCCTCCAAAATACAAGTTCTGCGTGTCTTGCTGTTAACCAGAAGGTTGGCGGTTCAAGCCTGCCCAAGGATAGCTATGAGGAGGAGTCCTGCATTGGACTAGATGACCCCTGAGGTTTCTTCCAATGCTACTATTCTGTAATTCTGTAATATTAATGCCATGTTTGCTAATAATACGTACCTGGTTTCCATTATTTATTATTGAAATATGTGTGGCCCCCCTGGCTGAACAAGGCTTAGGGCTGATTTGTATGCATCATCTCTTGATATTTCATCACTTCTTATCTAATCATTTGATGAATCTCAGCATGGTGTCACCATTCAAAAGGATTGTGCTTCCATGTTTATCAGGCGATACAAAAGTTCCAGCTGCAGTGATGCTGATGAATCTCTGATAGGAGATCGATATGCTACACATGCAACAAGAAGGAAAAGGCCAGCTCCAAACCACAGTGCAAGGGTGCATGTACACTTATCGCTAACAGTAGTGACTGGTGCCCATCAGGACCAGTAAGGCAAAAGGCAGGGAGACCAACAGTAGGGGGAGCCAAAGCCAACAATAGACAGTCACCCCCGACAAGTAAAAAAAGTGGGGAAGTGCCCCTTCTCCTAATAGTCCACCATCCACGGATCATTAGTCCCAATGTGTTTTGAGAATACTGTGTGCAGATGATCACTTATCTGGAGCTGCTGCAATCGTTTCCCCAATGTTGTTGTCTTCGAGGTAGCATTTACATCTAACTGTACATAGGTATTGTGTGTGGTTGTGTGAACAGGAATGACCTGGGGGGGATGGTTTACTTTCCTAATTGCGTTTGCTCTCTTTATTTTATACAACTCAATCGTGAAATTTACTAAGTCATGTTGCAAGTGACTTAGGATCATTCTTGTCCGTTTCTTTTGGCGGGGGGAAGCTTAGCACTTAAAAATAAAGAAGGCACATTATTTATTTATTGCATTTATGTACAGTGGTACCTTGGGTTACATACGCTTCAGGTTACATACGCTTCAGGTTACAGACTCCGCTAACCCAGAAATAGTACCTCAGGTTAAGAACTTTGCTTCAGGATGAGAACAGAAATCGTGCACCTGCGATGCGGTAGCAGGAGGCCCCATTAGCTAAAGTGGTGCTTCAGGTTAAGAACAGTTTCAGGTTAAGAACGGACCTCCGGAACGAATTAAGTACTTAACCCGAGGTACCACTGTACTTCCTTTTCTACAAGTCACTCAGACATGGTTCTCCCTCTCTGCAATTAATCCCCAAAACACCGTGCCTTAGCAACTCTTATCTTTGGACATAGACTTGGGCTCCACACTGCATCGCGGAGAACTAGCATCCTTCCTACTGACCACAGCTCAATTAGCAATAGCTCCACAGCGGAAGAACCAGACTGAAATACCCTGGAACATATGGGAAAATAATATCTGGGATCCAGCAATGTCTGAGTGCCTTACCAAACACAGGGGGACAATTAAAGGCATAACAAATAGGGACACCTTTCAAGAGACGTGGAACCCCTTTCTTTAACTATGTTAAGGACCCAAATCAGGACTTTGTTATGCCAGCCGCTCAATATTCTCAGTGGAGAAGTTACGTTAAGTAATATGTTTGAAGATTGAATGTGTAAGTTTATGTCTAAAGTCAATGGATAGGGCAAACATCATTAGAGGCATTGCTGGACAAGTGTTTAATGTTTAATGGTGTTTAATGGTTCTTTTATTGGTTTAAAAACCAATAAAATTTGTTTTTTAAAAAGAAATCAGCCCCCACCAGCCTGTGAGGTAGGTCAGGCTTAGAGGCAATGACTGGCCCAATGCCACCCAGTGAGCAAATGTGAATCCTGGTATCCCAGGTCCGAGTCCAATACTCTAACCATTACAGCACACTAGTTCTTATGAGTGCTTATGTGGATGTGTGAGATATACCCTTGTTTCTTTCACATACTTAGGAAACAGAATTTACCGTATTTTTCGCTCTATAAGACGCACCAGACCACAAGACGCACCTAGTTTTTGGAGGAGGAAAACAAGAAAAAAAATATTCTGAATCTCAAAAGCCAGAACAGCAAGAGGGATTGCTGCGCAGTAAAAGCAGCAATCCCTCTTGCTGTTCTGGCTTCTGTGATAGCTGCGCAGCCTGCATTCGCTCCATAAGACGCACACACATTTCCCCTTACTTTTTAGGAGGGAAAAAGTGAGTCTTATAGAGCAAAAAATACAGTATTTATTAAACAATCCTTTAAATACTATTTCTGTAGTTTTTAGGGGCGGGGTGTAGTGAGTCGCCTATGAGTCATACCAAAATGCAGGTGTTGGGTCCCGATTCTCTGTTTCCCTCTCAGCCTTTTCAGGGGTACCGTTTGAAGTGTTATGAACGCACAGTGGGACACAAAGCAATGATGGCTCTATATGTTTTATTTATTCAGCAGAATTTGTACGCTGCTTCATTGCAAAACCCCCAGAGCCGTTTATAATAAAATATACTTCTACTACTCAGAAAGGCAGTCAACATTCTGTGCACAACCACTAGATTATGTGCAGGAGGACACATTTTGCAAACGAAGTTCCAGACGTGCCCTCTCTATCAAAACACAGTTTTCTTTGTCCATGTGGTGTGCTTTAAAGTGCAGACCACAGCCAGACCGATACATTTTGGCACCTGAGGCCAATTGCAAAAGAATGCCCCCTTCCCTACCACTACCAGAGAAGAAGGGTTGAGTGAAGATCTACATCAAGAACGGGGGCGGGGGAAATAAAGATCTACATCAGGATATGCTGGCCCTGGGGATCCTGCCACCTGAGGTGGTCGCCTCATTTTGCCTCACGAGTGGTGCAGCCTGTGTGCTCAAAACACATGAAATAATAATTGCCTGGAAAAATAAAACGTACATGCAAATTTGGTTTTCCACTATTGTTGCATAGTTGCACATCATACATCGTTTTAGCAAGCGACACTGATTTGTTGCTCTAAACTGGCATGAAATTGGCAGCTGGCTGCGTGTGGGTTGAATCCACTTGCTAGCAACATGCAGTGGGCCATTTTGCCTGCTAAAAGAAATGACTAACCTTAGCAAGCCTGGTCTAGGCCTTTCTGCATAAACCAGCCAGGTGTGTACTCTGGCACCAGCATGGTGAAAAGGAGCAGTGATGAGGGACTCTTTACCATCTCTGACCTAAAAATGGCCAATACAGTTGCTGCTCATTCTCTATTTTTACACACTGCTTTTGATGTTGTTACAGAAACTAAAATGAATACGAAGAGGACGGCACTCTTGTTTATCTCCCTCTGGGCTCTATCCTGTGCTCGTCCTGTAAGTATTTTTTTAAAAATGCATTGCAACACTGACATTTTTAAACATGTTTGGTTTTAAGTATGTCCTCAGCTCACCCGCTGAAATCAGTAGGATATAAAAACATGTAACTTCAACTGGCTTGTGTCCTTTGTGATGACTTTCTTCTGAATAATTTCTCTAATATTATATCCAGGTATCCAGACACCTAGGTGCACATCACAGGAGCTCTGAGGAACATTGGGTAAGCAGGCCATTGTGCTTTCTCTTTCATCAAATGATGAATTCTGCTACAAAATTGTTTTAGAAGTCAAAAACAGGAAAGAACTCTCCCTAGTACCACTTGAGATCATCAAGTTACATTGAGTGCAACACAACCAACCCCAAAAACAATTTCCCTCAGATTTTGAGTTGTGCTGTGGATGAAATCACCTGGCCATCTGCTGCACTAGAATTATTTAGGCAGCATTTCTTGCCCTCCTCCTTGGTTTTCCCAAGTGTTGCCTTTTGTTGTCTGTCACACAGCCCACTGATGACCACTGAGGCAAGCTAGAACTCAGCCCTCGATAAAAGCAAGTCTTTCTTTGCTACCAGTTGCTGGGGAGCAGCTTCCACTTAGGTCTTCTGAGGCAAAGGCTCAATACATTCTGCTGCCTGAGGCAGATCAGCAAATGGTGGCTCCTCCCAAAGTCAAGGTGCATAGTACCCAAGGACATCCAAGTTATTCTGGTACCTGAGGCAGAAAATCCCAGGAGTTGCCCCACTTTACCTAATGATAGGGCCAGCCCAGCAAAGGAGTAGGTCACACAAACAAACAAAATTTGTTAGAAATACACCTGTGTACATGTGCCCCTCCAAATGTTGTTGGCCTTCAACTTTCATTAGCCTAGCCACCATGGCCAATGATCAGGGATGACGTGAGTTGGAGGATGAAACAGCTGGAGCGTTAGGGGTGGCTGATATACTACCATGTGATAGGAGCCACACTATTTTTGACATTTACTATAATATAACAAATGCATAAGAACAGAAGCAACAACAAAACTGCAACCAGGCATTCCTTAATGTCCCTCTTTTGTACAGGCTACAGCAATTGAAGGAAGCTTGAATGAGGTAGCTGATTCCACAGATGTTAGCGATGAAGATACAGAGAGCAGGCCAAGCACAAGCATGGAAAACGGAAGGAAAGATGTCAGTGAACGTGTGAGCACTAGCCATGAGAGCAGTGAAGGCAAGAACTTCATCAGGAAAGTTTCCAGTGGAAGCCTAGAGAGCTCTTCAGAAGATGACCATGAATGGATCACTCGGGACAATGATGACGGCAATTATTTCAGAGTCCACCACCAGACAGTTCAGAGGAAATGGGCAGATGACAAGGACTACCGTGACCATGGGGACAGTTCTGATGATCAGTCTGCTGACGGAACATCTCTGGTAGGTATTTAAAAGGTTACCGTATAAACCTTTGAATTGAAGTAGCCAGAATTATTTCCCCATCATAAGCAGCTGAAAGTTCAGTCACCTCAATTCAGTCGGATTCAGTAACATGAATGTTCATAAACTCATCCCAGATCATTTACTGTAGGCATGAAAAGATCTCCGTTCTTGCATTATTCTTGTGGTCTATGCTGCTCTGAATTCCACTCCTTCTGAATGTTGGATTAAAAGGAGACCTCTTCATGTACTATTTGCATGAAGGGTAGCCCTTACATACAACAAGGGGTGGGACTGTGCTGTTAGCCCCACCCCTGGACCAGCACTGTACCCCATTCTTCTACAACCCTTTCCTATACAATGTACCAACATTTCTGTCCTCCTTTTTGATGGAGTCCTTTTTGGTGAATTGGTGTTGCCTGTGTGGTACAGCAAGGTGATGTTCCCAATGCAACCCACTCTCTTCCTGCTCCCAGATCCTATGCTGTCCCTTGAAGCTTAGGCTTGAGCACTTAGCTCCAAACTCCCCTGCCTGCTTTTAATGCTTGATCACAGCTCCCGCTTCAATAGCTTCACTCCCTGGTGATGTTCCCACCTCATTTTTCCTCTTTAGTTTCTTACGCCTTACCTTTCTTTCTCCCCTACCCAATTGCCAAGTCTCTCTACATACTAACAGCTGCTTTCCCCACCCAGCCTTGACCTCCATCTGGCTGAGTCACAGCAGCACACCAGGACAGAGAGCAGCATGGCAGTGGTGTGGTTGGCACGGTGAAAACGCGTCAGCAGGAAAACCAGATTGACTGCTCTGCTGTATTTGCACTGCGCCAACCTTGCAACTGCCATCTCCTGCCCCATCCTGGTATACTGCAGCAACTCACCTGGATGGAGGTCAGCTGAGCTGCACAGTCTTACCCTGCTCCCAATTTCACTGCCTGAAAGTATAGAGTTGAGAATTTCAGGAGGCCATTTTCACTCAGTTGTAACATTTTGATAGATACAGCAGCAAAACGCTATGTTGTGGTGCCGAATGAGAAACGCATCCGGAAGACAAAAATGTATTGAGGAGTTAGTGGTCTGACAAGGAGCCCTCCCGCCTCTGTTCCTTCCCTTTTGATGGAATGTATTTTGGCTTCTCATCGTTATTTTGTAATATGAATGTTTTCAGAACAGTCTTAGATGTTCTGGGAACATTGGGAGGAGGTGCAGCACTGCCCCCCCCCCGCCAGCTACCTTATCAGTTTGGAAGGCTAGTACTTGGTACCTTCTCTCATGTTTGACATGTTTTGAGAAAGTGAGGTCTTGAGAGGGGGTGGTTAATGGAGGATCTGCATGTAGCCAGTCTTAAAAGCTACACAGGTTGTCTATAAAATCTGACGGTTTGGGCAGAGTTTCTTTAAAGCATGTGCACAGACTGATTGGCCGCAGGGCTGTGAAAACTGAGGCTGTGGGAATCGCTTCTCTGATTCTTGAGGGCTTCCAAGTGGCAAATCGAAGTGCTTGCTTGGTATGAATAGATTGCTTGCTGTTTTAGAATAAAAACTTTAATCTTCTCTCTCACTTGTGTATTTTGTATAATAATAATAATAATAATAATAATAATAATAATAATAATATTTATACCCCACCCATCTGGCTGTGTTTCCCCAGCCACTCTGGGCGGCTTCCAACAGAATATTAAAATACAATAATCTATTAAACATTAAAGGCTTCCCTAAACAGGGCTGCTTTCAGATGTCTTGCTTCTGAATCTCATTGTAAAAGAACCACCTTGCTTTTGGCAAAACAGGTGCTTGTTGGGGTAGAAGCAAGAGTGCCACTTGGCCTATGAAACTCTAAAAACAATGTGAAATAATAAAGTTTTGTTCCCCCTTCCCATTTGTCGTCTTTTATAGGAGGATCAAAACGAGGTTCATGAAGACCACAGCGATATCAGAAAATCCAAAGAACAATTTGATGTTGAAAATGATGGCATGCTTTATTCCCCTGATCAAGTCTTGTATACTTTCATGGGGAAAGGAGGAAGTGATCTGACCAATGATGAGGGTGCCAGTGGTGATGATGGACATAATGAGGAAGGCACTCATGGGGTAACTCCAAACAAAGGAAACGATCAGCAAACATGGGTGACCAACGGGGAGCAAGATGGTGACAATGCTATCGGCCAACGCCATGATGGCAGTAGTAGCAGCAGTAGCAGCAGTAGCGAGAGCAGAGACTTTGAAAAAGAGAATAACCACATTACTGATTACAGCAAAAAACAAGGAAGTGATAGTTACAGCAGCAGCCAAGAGGATAGGTATGATTTTGATGACAAAGGAATGCAAGGTGATGACCCAAACATCTTTGAGAGCCATGACAGTGATTCTCACATGCTTCACGGAGATGTCCATTCAAAAGAAAGCAGCCAGGAAAGCAGCAGAGAAAAGGGGCAGAGAAAAGCCAAACATCACAGCAAATCAGTGGAACAGTTTGCCAGGAAAGTATACCATTATGTTGATGCTGATTCAGATGAAGATCACAGCCCTGAAGAGGAAAAGTCCCTGCAGGAGGAGGATGCTGATTCCAAAGAAGAAAGCCAGTCTGTAGAAGACATTAGTCAATCAACAGAAAATGTTCCCAGTAGATCCAGAGAGCATGCAACCAGTCATTCCAGAGAGGCTGTAAAGCCTTCATCCAGAGGGCACAGCCGCAGTCAGTCCAAAGAGACCTTTGACAGCCGGTCCAGGGAAGATGTGCACAGCCAATCCAGGGAAGATGCGCACAGCCACTCCAGGGAAGATGCGCACAGTCAATCCAGGGAAGATGCACGCAGCCGCTCCAGGGAAGATGTGCACAGCCAATCCAGGGAAGTCAGGCACAGCCAGTCCAGAGAAGATTCTCACAGTCAATCCAGGGAAGATGCACACAGCCACTCCAGGGAAGATGTGCACAGCCGATCCAGGGAAGATGTGCACAGTCAGTCTAGGGAAGATGCACCCAGCCACTCCAGGGAAGATGTGCACAGCCGATCCAGGGAAGTCAGGCACAGCCAGTCCAGGGAAGATGTGCACAGTCAGTCTAGGGAAGATGCACCCAGCCGCTCAAGGGAAGATACGCACAGCCAGTCCAGGGAAGATGCAGATAGCCAGTCCAGAGAACTCAGGGATAGTCAGTCTAGAGAGGATGACGACACTGCATCTGCAGAAGACGTAAAGAGTGAATCCACTGAAGACAGCAGGGACTCCTACGAGAAGACTTTGAAAAAATCTGTAGAGATAAGCGACAGATCAGATGAACCCATTGTTAGCAGATCTAAAGAGCAGGAGAGTGACTCTACTGAAGAAGTAGGAAAAGTGCCACCAAGGGGCAGTGAATCCAGAGAGTTTAAGAGACAACACAGCAGATCAGGTGAGAAGAGCACATCTACAGAAGAGAGTGAAGAATCATCCGAGGACACAGATGAATCCAGCCAGGGTGACAGCAGGTTGTCTCAAAGTGCGTCGTCTGAGAGCAGCAAAGATTCCCAAGACAGCGCCAGCAGTGAAGACAGTGATTCGAATGCTCTCCGGTCCGAAGAATGGCAAGGCCAGCAGAGCAGATCAACAGAAAGCAGTGAATCCAAAGGCGAGGAGAACAGTCGTTCTATAGAAGGGGAATCCAGCCAATCCAGAGAGGACACAAAGAGCAATTCTGAAAGTACAGAAGACGACAGCTGGTCAAGGAGCATGGAGCTAGAAAGCCGAAAGTTAATGCTTGACATTTATCATAATAAGCCTTTTAGCGATTACGATGATAACGATTGCCAGGATGGGTATTAAAGCATTAAAAACAAACCCAACTCTACGTAATATTTTGAGGCCAAGATGCGACCTCATCTTTTAATTTATTTTATCATTTTTAGCAATGTGAATATTGATAACAGGAAATTAGAGTCACCGCTGAATTTCAGTTAAAGTGAAATTCGAGATGGATCCTATCTGAGGAGTAAGATTAGCAGAACAAACCACGTGAGGTTCGACACACTACCAAGTTGCCACGGAATTCTATCTAAAGCACAAGTCAAAGCAAATGTTGAGGTTCTTCCTCAGGTAAAACACCTGAGTAATTCTGAGGGAGACTAAAATATTTCAAAAACACCTCAGAACCGTGGAAGCCACCAGGAATTTTGCCTGACACAGGGCAGGTCCATGCAGAAGTGGGGACAGCCGAATAAGCTTGCCTCAGGCCTCCAGTGACCAACTGCATTTTTGTTTGAGTTTATAACTTTATTCTAACAAGACTCACGTTCCAGGCCTCAGACAAGCTCTGCACTGGCCTGCCACACAGGTTGGGAATCTGGGGCTGCCCCCGTGTTGCTCTCCTACAACTCCCATAATCCCATTTGCCATTCCGACTGGGACTGATGGGAGTTAGGAGTTCAACAACATCTAAAAGAGGGTTCCTCACCCCCATCCTGGTAATCTGTTTCTGCCACTACCACTGAATTTTTGGGGGGCTGTTGTGTATGTGTCTTGCAAGGTAAAGGTTAAGTCCAGTCAAAGGTGACTATGGGGTATGGCACTCATCTTGTTTCAGGCCAAGGGAGCCGGCATTTTTCCACAGACAGCTTTCCGGGTCATGTGGCCAGCATGACTAAACCGCTACTGGTGCACGGAGGACCGTGACAAGTGCCAGAGCGCATGGAAACGCTGTTTACCTTCCCACCGCAGCAGTACCTATGTATCAACTTGCACTGGTATGCTTTCAAACTGCTAGTTTGCCAGAAGCTGGGACAGAGCAACGGGAGTTCACCCCGTTGTGCAGATTCGAACTGCCAACCTTCTGATTGGCAAGTCCAAGAGGCTCAGTGGTTTAGACCACAGCATAGCCTTATTGGAAACAGTAATCCACAGAATTGGCAAAATAAAAGTCCCAGGACAGGTTGTCATTGTAGCAGCTGATGCCTGTTCCATTCAAAAGAAGGTCTTTCAGTAAAGTACTTGGGGAACCACCTGCACTATGGACCTCAGCTACATTTTAAGAGCCCCTAGATTGTGTCCCTTCCATTCTATAAATTAGGTCAGTAGTGACATAGCAGAACTTACTTTAGCCCCTGCTTGTCTGCATGCTGCTTGGGCCTTGTTACTGGCATCAATTGGCCAGTTCCTGTGACGTCACTGAAGAGACAACAAGGAATATATTTCATTTTCTCCATTCTTGGGCATTTATTTTTTGCTGTTTGGAGAGTGAAGTTTATTTTTCTTTTCTTTTTTGAGGGTGGGTCCTCCTCTGCCTTATAGCATGATTGCTCCTTCCACTATTTAAATGTGGTGAATGCATACATGACTGTTTATTTCCTTGGTGCCAATGCAGTCTCATTTTTAGAGGACAAAGAGGGAGCTGGTCTTTCTACGCAGCAAAGTTGCTCACATACAAAAAGGCTTCACACACCCCCATCCCCAACTTTCATTTGAATAACTGAAGCACCCCAAATACAAGACTGGTTCTTGAGGGATGAGAGATCTAAAGGAGGACCTATTTTCCATTGTTTGTACAAAAGAAAAAGATCACAGCCATGCACAGCCTAGGGCAAACACTGATTCCAAATATATAGTAGCCAGCTCCTGTACGCACCTGTGTGGTAATGAAAAGACGTCTGTTAACTGTAGCAACTGCACAGATAGAAAGCAAAGAAGATATTTGCCACCTGCCTGTGCACATAAGCTGTTCACACAGCCTCGGAGGTATAATTAATACAGGATGTATGTAATATTTTGTAATAAATGTATAGCAGTATTGGGAAAATGTTGTGGGCTATTTTCTAATCCCTTTTTTATACATGTGGTCCTAAGTTAAAAACAACAACAACACAACTCTGTATTTACTAATAAAGAACTTTAAAATGTAAAAGAAAAATTAGTTACCTGGTTTAATACATATCTGCTGAATGGTTTTGTTATATTGCCTGTTGGGTGCAGGTGTCAGAGAACAGAAGCAGGAGTGTGACAAGTTTGTAGGTGGAGATAAAAGGCAACAAACAACACACACCCCTCCCACCAAACAACCTCCCCAAAAGCTAAACCCTCTCAATATAAACATACAATATTTGGGGCCAGGAGGCATTGATGGGCACCAAGGGGGTATCTGAGAGCAGCATGATGCCCAGTATATGCAATCCAGCCATATACCTGCTTCTTCTGAATCTCCAAATTTTGTTGAGCTTGCAAACGGGGGTTGGATTGGGGAATATGTCCAATCTTCTGCTTATGTTACCAGCCCCCAAAACTCATATCTGGGCCTGAACCCAATGAACTTTGCCAGCATGTCTATTTGTGTCGCCAGACAACCATTGGACTTAGAACCACTGCTTAGAGTATCACCTTCTGTACAATAGCAATAAACAGGCCAGCTGCTCCCTCTTCTGGCGAGCCAACCCATGGGTGGACAGAGCTGCCTGTTGTTGACAAAAGTTCCCAGTTTAGCACCCCCAACCCTTTACACTTTCCCAGTTTAACTTGATGTTCCTCAGCTACGGTTCCCAGAGCGGTTTAACAGTCCATCCTGCTTCCAAGGGAACTCTGGGAATTGTAGGTCTCTGAGGGGATTAGGGGTTTCCCAACAACTCCTAGCACCATAGGTGTCTGCAGCACATTTCACCAGGGTGTGCAGCCAGCATTAGCGCCAACTCTATAGGCAGGGCTGTTGTAAGCAAATGCGGTGCTGGGATGCAAAGATCCGCCCGGCGTCCCCCCCAGGTTGCCCAGTCCCAGGCGTGTAGGATGGCAGAGCTGGCCACCAGCCTCAGTGTCTCACTAGCTCGGTCGCCCCCGAACTCATGGTGCAGAGCCGCCTGCAGCAGAAGAGCCCGCCACAGCACTCTGACCGATGGGCGGGCTCTTCCCTAGACTCAACTCTCGGGCCCCAGACTCCTGGCCTGGTGCCCCTGAGAGCCCGACGCCCAGGTGCCCTGCACCCCTAGCGCCTATGGGTAAGACGGCCCTGTCTATAGGGCTGATTTCAGCCCCTTTAATATCTGCAAGAGAGGAGGAGCCACCAGCCATTGAAGCTGCGCCTTACTGGGCCCTGGGCTCAGCCTCCTCCTGACGATGCGATGTTGTGCATGCGCCACATGCATGTCACACACACGCATCATGCATTGTGCACATGATGACTCACACACTGCATGTCATCCATGGGTCAATCCTGGGTGCAAGTCAGCGTCTCTGGCAGCCAAGGAATTGTGCCTTTGTGGAAGAAGGGGCAGGAGGGTTCAGCACGAACGGCCTCTTGTGTGCCAAATATAAACTTAACTCTCAGGTGCTTCTGAGGCCACGTAACAATGCAGGTCCCCCACAGCACGTGTGCCAAAAAAGCACCCCCACAGATCTCTCTTCCCAAAAGGTGGCAAATGGTAAGCTCCTCACAAGCCAATTGAAAACACACTCCCAACCTTGCAGGAATGGCTCTTCCCATATCTCCTCCACCTGTCCACACCACTGTTGTCCTCTACATGTTTGTTGGGCTAGAATTCCCACCATCCCTGACCATTGGCCATGCTGGTTGGGGCTGATGGGAGATGTAGTCCAACATCTGTTGGTGGCAACCGCTGTCCTAGAAGCTGCTGCGAAAATAAACTGTGATGCTTTTTAATGGCCAGCAAGTGGCGCTGCTGCTTAATGTCAAAAGAATCATGCCGGTTGCTTTCAGTTTGAATTGAAGATCTGCTGTGCAAACCTTCCATGTAAGGTTGTCAAAAGAAGCAATGTTTTCAGAGAGAAAAGATGAAATGGGGTGAGAGGGGGGCAGTTTTCCAGAACTGAGTCCTGATGGAAATTTGTAGAAACCACTTCTACGATAATCTACACAGAGCTTAGTTGTGTAAGGGGGTAAAAAATAGATATGTACTCTAGAAGGAAGACTTAGGAGTCAGGAGTAGGATGAATTAAGGAAATTGCAACAGATCTACAATATTCTCACAGTCTTTAGGTATAAAGATGATGCTTCAGGACTGGCAACTAACTGAACCTTGAGTAGGATAGGATAGTAGAGATCTCAGCTACTTCTATTTTATTCTTTATGGGCATCCTGTTACTGAGTCTCAGAGCTCTTTCCCCCTGCCAGCCAACACACCTGATTGCCCCTTACCTGGGTTGCCAAAGTCTCTGATGATTATGGTGCTTCTGCCTCCTTTTCTCACATCCTGTTGGCCCCACCTGTTGCCATCAGGAACTGTAGAACGCTGGGTCCTGTGGTTGGAAGAGCATGCCACGCACATGTCTCTCCCTTTTAATTCACTAATTAATGGTACAATGAGAATATCTAAAAAAAACAGTTCCAATATATGTCCAGACTGGGAAACATCTCTGCTTAAAAGACTTGTTGAAAACGGAAGACCTTCAGCAAACACTGAACAGACAATGAAGAGAGCTCCTGTCTCATACTTAATGGGAGGGAATGCCCAAGGGTAATTCAGTAGGAATTACATCTGAGTAGGCATGGTTAGTATTGCTGCCTTAGTCTCATTCCCCCTCCTCCCATATTTTACCATCCATATTTGAGTTCCAGTGGGTGTCTGGAGTTCACGCAAGCCCTTTGCACTCCTAAGGCTTTTGGGAAGCTAACTTTAAGGTATCACATTATTTTTTGTGTGGGATGGTGGTGGCATCAGGGTGAAAGTAGTAGTAGTAGTAGTAGTAGTAATAATAATAATACAGTGGACACTCGGGTTGCGAACGTGATCTGTGCGGGATGCACTTTTGCAACCCGCAGCAGTATGTCTGCGCACGCGCGGGTTGCACTTCAGTGCTTCTGTGCATGCGCAAAGCATGATTTAGTGCTT